GGGATTTATATTGAATTTATTGGGATTTACTGGGGTTTATTGGGATTTACATTGAATTTATTGGGATTTATTGGGGTTTATTGGGTTTTTATTGGGATTTACTGGGGTTTATATTGAATTTATTGGGGTTTATTGGGGTTTGGATCACACCGGCTCCAATATTGTCAATGGCGGTGACAGCAATGACAAACCCGTACCTGGAACGGGGTTAAAGAGGGATTTACTGGGGTTTATTGGGATTTACATTGAATTTATTGGGGTTTATTGGGGTTTGGATCACACCGGCTCCAATATTGTCAATGGCGGTGACAGCAATGACAAACCCGTACCTGGAACGGGGTTAAAGAGGGATTTACTGGGGTTTATTGGGATTTACATTGAATTTATTGGGGTTTATTGGGGTTTGGATCACACCGGCCCCGATGTTATCGATGGTGGTGACAGCAATGACGAACCCGTACCTGGGAAAGGGTTAATGGGGTTAAAATGGGATTTAGTGGGGTTTTACATTGAATTTATGGGGATTTATTGGGGTTTATATTGAATTTATTGGGGTTTGGATCACCCCGGCTCCAATATTGTCAATGGTGGTGACAGCAATGACAAACCCGTACCTGGAACGGGGTTAAAGAGGGATTTACTGGGGTTTATTGGGGTTTATATTGAATTTATTGGGATTTATTGGGGTTTATTGGGGTTTATATTGAATTTACTGAGATTTATTGGGGTTTTATATTGAATTTATTGGGTTTATTGGGATTTATTGGGGTTTCATTGGGATTACTGGGGTTTTTTTGGGGCCATTTTCGGTTTTTTTTGTTTTTTGGGGCCATTTTTTGGGGGTTTTGGGGCCGTTTTTGGAGATTTTCCGGGGCCGTTTCCGCTCCCCCCGCTCCCCCCGGTTCCCGTTCCCATCCCCGCTCCCGCTCCCGTTCCCGTTCCGGTCCCGTTCCGGTCCCGCGCTCACTTCCCGGTGCAGCGCAGCACCAGGCTCAGGAAGGTCTGCGTGTTGCGGCTCAGCTCCTCGGCGCTGCGCTGCCCGACGCCGGGCGTGGGTTTGAGCCCGCGGCCGATGACGCCGGCGTGGAACACGGACCACACGCCGCCGGCGGAGGTGTCGGTGAAGCGGCGGTTGGTGTCCAGCAGTGACACCGCGGTGGTGTTGGTGCTGCCGTCGTGGCCCGGCGGCTCGGCGCTGCCCCCGAAGAGCTCGGCGTTGCGGCCGCCCAGCGCGCCCTCCACCAGCTGCGCCAGCACGGCCTTGGCGGCGGCGGGGCTGACG